CTGGCAGACCACACACTGCTTAACTATTAACCATGATACAATATGGATGCGCAGACACTCTTCAACCAACCTTGATAGTAATGTCATGAAGGACCTACTCACTGTTGCTCTCTGCAAGAACCTGAAAACACCACCGAATAACTGGAAGATGACAATGCTCTGTAAGACACTAACTTTCTGAATAACAAAATAACCTGGGTGTGTGAGTGTTTGCCATTTCTTACCTGCAAATCCTGCGGCAGCAACACCAAGGCCAACCGCTATCAGAGTACCACCCTGAAGATACAGAAGAATATCAATACTACTACAACAACGCAGTTTCATTCATTGCATAGCTGAGTCACAAGCCGGTTGATTCCATCACAGCATGTTACCTGACGTTCATGTTACTGGAGATTGCTAGATTAATAATCATAATGACAACCTTTTGCTAGATTAATAACCATAATGACAACCTTGGTTCCGTTGATAATTGCTGTGATTTGCAACCATAACTTGCTTACTGTAGTTAGCTATCCATTAGCTAGCTAGCGTAGCTGTAAAACTGTTTGGCTTAGGGTCTGGTATTAACGTTAGCTGGCTAGCTAGCTTTAGAGTTTTGTAACTAGCTAGCGCAGCTATCCACCAAAATTTAAAATAACAAAATAATCGATATTCGTACAAGTCTTTTGTCGATTTCTGTTTCGCTCCTGATGTTAGATTGAGGATTGTATTCAGCATATAGCATCGTTTCGTTCGCCATGGTGTCCCTGTTCCGTCACTTGAAGGGCACAACTACGGAGCGTCTGATGTAACAAAAACCAAGGTCAATTTAAATACCATTTCGTAATCCAGAACGAACAGGTGATCTACAGGTAACTGACAAAATAAAGATAACACTTGAGTAAATAAGGGATACAACGTATATTGAAAGTTAATTAAGCAATTAACATTCCATCATGCTTAGGGTCATGTATAAAAATGCCCAGTTGCCCATTATTTTGGCTACCATGGCTAGAAGAAGAGTTCTCAGTGACTTTGAAAGAGGGGTTTCAAAGGAGCATAAGGGGTTTAAAGTGTGTGTGTGTGTGTGTGTGTGTGTGTGTGTGTGTGTGTGTGTGTGTGTGTGTCACAAGATCTCAACCTAATTGAACACGTACGGGAAATTCTGGAGCAGCGCCTGAGACAGCATTTTCCACCACCACCACCACCATCAACAAAACACCAAATGATTTAATTTATCGTGGAAGAATGGAATCAAATAGAGTTCCAGACACTTAGGCTATATGCCAGAATATATGCCAAGGCGTATTGAAGCTGTTCTGGCGGCTCATGGTGGCCCAACGCGCTATTAACATACTATGTTGGTGTTTCCTTTATTTTGGCAGTTACCTGTAGGCCTAACTTGCAAAACATTCTGTGGAAAATTTTAATAAATCAATTAACCACATGAAAACAAACAAATTAAATGTCAAAAAAATATACATAGTGAGATAATTCACAGCCATAGCAGATGACAGCAATACATTTGTATTTACTCCTAGGGAATGTAAATCCTGCCACACAATTTTTATTAGGATACAGCAATATTACATTTTACATTTACATTTTAGTCATTTAGCAGACGCTCTTATCCAGAGCGACTTACAGTTAGTGAGTGCATACATTTTTCATACTGGCCCCCTGTGGGAATCGAACCCACAACCCTGGCGTTGCAAGCACCATGCTCTACCAACTGAGCTACAGGATATACCCTATATAACATTTTGATTAAGCATCCAACTCACTCACTCACTCACTCACTCACTCACTCACTCACTCACTCACTCACTCACTCACTCACTCACTCACTCACTCACTCACTCACTCATATTACTTTTTATTCAGTTGTGAAAACGATTCTGCTAAACTTTTATAGTGTTGGGCTGACTGTAGGCTGTACAGTGCCTTCAGAAAGTATTCACACCCCTTGACTTTTTCCACATTTTGTTGTTTTACAGCCTCAATTTAAAATGGATTTAATATATATTTTGTGTCACTGGCCTACACACAATACCCCATAATGTCAAAGTGGAATGATGTTTGGGGAAATTTTTACAAATGTATTAAAAATGAAAAGCTGAAATGTCTTGAGTCAAAAAGTATTCAACCCCTTTGTTATGGCAAGCCTAAATAAGTCCAGTAGTAAAGACTTGCTTAACAAGTCACATAATAAGTTGCATGCAATTTCAAACACAGATTCAACCACAAAGACCAGGTAGGTTTTTCAATGCCTCGCAAAGAAGGGCACCTATTAGTAGATGGGTAAAAATAAAAAATCAGACATTGAATATCCCTTTGAGCATGGTGAAGTTATTAATTACACTTTGGATGGTGTATCAATACACCCAGTCACTACAAATATACAGGCGTCCTTCCAAACTCAGTTGCCGGAGAGGAAGGAAACCGCTCAGGGATTTCAGCGTGAGGCCAATGGTGACTTTTAAACAGTTACAGAGTTTAATGGCTGTGATAGGAGAAAACTGAGGATGGATTAACAACATTGTAGTTACTCCACAATAGCGTGAAAATAAGTAATCCTGTATAGAATAAAAAATATTACAAAACATGCATCCTGTTTGCAACAAGGCACTAAAGTAATACTGCAAAAAATGTGGCAAAGCACATAACTTTTTGTCCTGAATACAAAGTGTTATGTTTGGGGCAAATCCAATACAACACATTACTGAGTACCACTCTCCATATTGTCAAGCATAGTGGTGGCTGCATCATGTTATGGGTATGCTTGTAATCGTTAAGGACTGGGGAGTTTTTAAGGATAAAAAAGAAATGGAATGGAGCTAAACACAGGCAAAATCCTAGAGGAAAACCTGGTTCAGTCTGCTTCCACCAGACACTGGGAGATGAATTTACCTTTCAGCAGGACAATAACCTAAAACAGAAGGCCAAATCTACACTGGAGTTGCTTACCAAGAAGACAGTGAATGTTCCTGAGTGGCCGAGTTACAGTTTTGATTTAAATCTGCTTGAAAATGGTTGTCTAGTAATGATCAACAACCAATTTGACAGAACTTGAAGAATTATGAAAATAATAATGGCCAAATATTGTACAATCCAGGTGTGGAAAGTTCTTAGAGACTTACCCAGAAATACTCACAGCCAGTGGCGGCTCCTGAAAAAATTCTCAGGGGGGGCAATTTTTCTGATGATTTAGGTGACCTACACACATTTTAAAAAAGATATGTCCAGCAACAACATGAAGACAGGGGCAGCATATAAGTCAATACCAGAAGCATTTATTGACTGATCTCAAAAGTGTTGGCTTACCAGGGTTGGTGGAGCCCTCAGTTTCATCTTTGCCTCGCAAAGCTAACTCAAACACTCCGCAAAACTTCACACACTGGATTAGCCGGCTGAGGATGTGGCGGTTCTTGCTAATGTCGTAGTAAATATATTTGTTATAGTGAATATGGAATATGATATGTTGAGTAAAATGTTGTGCTAAGATCTATTTAGGTCAGGAGCTGGTTATAAGTTCTGTTCCTATCCAATAACAATGGACAAAAGGGTCCTATCTTGTCAGCCTTGTCAGTTTCAGTTCTCCAGTAAACTTGTGATTATCAACACTAACCTCATCGTTGTGGCGGCGGACAGCTAGCCTGTATCCCTCATCCAGTTGAGTGGGAATGTTCACTCTCCCCAAAGCAGACAATCTCAAACAGCTATCCATGTGGGTCTTTGACAGCTCATGTTTCTTAATCTTTCCTGAAAGATGGTGCATGTCCGTTACACACCAGTCGCTGTCCAAGCGGTGCTGTCTGCCGTGCCGCCTTCAGGGTGAAAGAGTAAGCAGGGGGTAGCAGAAGACTGCATTAGCTACATCGCAGCCTGCTAGCCAGGTTTTTCGTTCGTACCAATTTTTGGAAAATCCTCGGGTGTAGGACTTCCCCCCTTTAGTAGAAACCTGTTGAATTATTAAATTTGGTCTGGGAGGTCCTAATTGTTTCGTTGCCAATTTATCTTCATTTGTTCGCCGACAAAAAGGAACTTCTTTCAAAGACACAATCGAGTTGCACTGAAGCCTAGCCATTTTGACAGTAATAGTGAATTGATTGACGCTGCTACCCCGCTCTTTTCTTAGTTACGTTCATGGTTACGTTACGTATGACGAAAGCGCGTAAGTGCAAGCCCTCAGAAACCCATAGAGATTGTATTGAAAGCTCTGATATTTGAAAAAAATAGATTTTACATGGGAGTCTATGACAGACTTCTGGGCGATTTTCAACCTGACTGAAATCGCCCCAAAAGGGGGGGGGGCCATTTGAAGCACGACTTTAGCCTGATTGGACATTTAGTGGCACTGTGGCAGATCAGACGTCTAGATTACAACACTGATAACTACTGTTGCCGTGATATAATTGATTAGAAAAAAAATCCCTTCCTTTTCCCGTTTGGCAGTGCGTCGCCCATATCGCCCTATTGAACACACCGCCCCTGCTCACAGCTGTAATCGCTGCCAAAGGTGATTCTAACGTGTATTGACTTAGGGAATACTTATCTAATCAAGATATATTAGTATTTTATTTTTCATGATTTGTTTTACAAATGTTATAATTGTTCTTACACTTTGACATTACAGAGTATTTAGTGTAGATCATTGACAAAAAATGTCAATTAAATCCATAAAAAAATCCCACTTTGTACAACAAAAATTGGAAAAGTCAAGGGTTGTGAATACTTTCTGAAGGCACTGTTGTCCCGCACATTAACTAACCTGTACCCCAGCACATTGACTCGGTACAGGTACCCACTGTATATAGCCTCATTATTGTTATTTTATTGTGTTACTTTTTAATTCTTTTTTACTTTAGTTTATTTGGTAAATATTTTCTTAACTCTTTCTTGAACTGCATTGTTGGTTAAGGGCTTGTAAGCATTTCACGGTAAGGTCCTGTTGTATTCGGCGCATGTGACAAATAAGGTTTGATTTGATACTGGGAGTTAACTCTCCAATACGCGTGTCTGCCACAGGGGGTAGGGACTTCTCCAATTTACCGCCGTCTCAGACAGTTCTGTGTCAGGAGCCATAGGATATAGGGTGCCATCATGGACGACCAGGGATATTATAGTAATAATAAAATCAATTCTACCAATTCAGGAGCTAATCGGAGAACAAATAGGCAGTCTGTAAATAATGCATGTCAAGAGCCCCGGGATTCCAACCCTGATGCCAATGCTAACGCACCTGTCAACGCAAACACCGATCCACAAACACAGCAGGATCCAACTCAGCCTCAACAGTGAGTAGTAGTCAATACTATTTATCTCCAACTCAGCCTCAACAGTGAGTAGTAGCCAATAATATTTATCTCTATTAGACTATGTGTTTTCATATGTTTCAAGGGGATATTCGGGCTATACGGATATGGAAGGTTCTCTTCTGCATCAAGTTTAAGAAAGATTGGGAAAAGTTTGGGAAGTACTATTATGTAAAAGTATGGAATGTCATTCAAATTTAGAATGTATTAAATTTAGTATTTATGTAAGGTCATATTCACGTTTAGCCTACAGTAAGTTTCGTTTCATGCTCTTAATTCCTGTGAAGCGGAAGAGAAACCAGAGATTATTTTGAGGAGATGGGAAACTCCATTGGATTCCTATTAATGCCTATTGAGTACGTTGCCTGTACGTCGTCAATGGGCCGCGCGGTGCATTTTGGGCGATTGTGGGACAAGGAGATCTCTCCTTTAAGGAGTGAATGGTTTAAAAACCTAACATTACCATGAATTTCGTGAACAAGAAGTACAACATTACAAATATTTTCTGTAAATAGGCAGGTTTATTGACTCATACCCTGAGTTTGAGAAGGGATTGCGTGACGATTAATTTAGCAACCGTGTGACGCAGCATGACAACGTGAACGTGATTGGTCGACAGTCTGCTGGGTGGGGCGTTAAACATTGGCCATTCATTCCTATCTCCTCCTTTCTCTAATATCTCTGGTAAAACTAGTCTATACACACGCATGCGCACATGGACAGACGCTTGTGTTCTGTTTGGGTGCACAAGAATAGTGTGTTTTGTGCATGAATTAGTTTTAGCACCACACCTCTGTCTGGTAAAACCCTTGGCACAGAAGATTATGAGGGTTATTAAATGTATAAGTAGGGGGAGGCATTTACATTTCCCTTTCTCTCGATTTCTCTGACTGGTTGCATCACCGCTTGGTATGGCAACTGCTCCGCTTCGACCGCAAGGCGCTACAGAGAGTAGTGCGTAGGATGGCCCAGTAGATCACTGGGGACAAGTTTGCTGCCATCCATGACCTCTATACTAGCAAATATTTTCTTACTTACTTAAAAAAAAAATCTGCATTGTTGGTTAAGGGCTTGTAAGTAAGCATTTCACGGTAAGGTCTACTATTTATATATATGCCATTTAGCAGACGCTTTTATCCAAAGCGACTTACAGTCATGCGTGCATACATTTCTGTGTATGGGTGGTCCCGGGGATCGAACCCACTACCTTGGCGTTACAAGCGTCGTGCTCTAACAGTTGAGCTACAGAGGACCACTACACAATACTACACATGTTGTATTCGGGCCATGTGACAAATACAATTTGATTAGATTTTTATTTACATCCTCTCATTCTCTCTCTCTCTCTCTCTCTCTCTCTCTCTCTCTCTCTCTCTCTCTCTCTGTCTCTGTCTCTGTCTCTGTCTCTGTCTCACAGTTCAGATGGGTTCACCATGATACCACCCATTGAATCAAGAAGGAGTAAACTACAGAGGAGTAAGTCTCGTTGTAGCGACCCTGGTTTATAAGCCTGGATATTGACTCTGCCACTTGAGCACGCTTTTGTGGCACAGTCGATTTCCGTGGGACTTCGGGCCAGAAGGTTGAGAGTTTCGAGGCGCACTGCCTGCCTGTTTCATTACAATAGCATTGTTATGATATCTCTCCATCCCTCTTTCCATCCATCCATCTACCCCCCCCCCCTTCCCCTCTACTCCTCCCTCCAGTAATAGTATATATTAGTAATATACTATATATTGTAATATACTTGGAATGTAATATGCCAACATGTCACCATTCTCCCTTAACCCACAGTGGCTCAGAAAGAAGAGGAGGACTTCCAGAGATGGAAGGAAGCAAACAGACCTGGTCCTGTCCAACTGGCCCCAGAGAGGCTAGGTACACACACACACACACACACACACACACACACACACACACACACACACACACACACACACACACACACACACACACACACACACACACACACATTAATCATATTATATTCTAATGCATGTATCTCTGTAAGGTGGTGCTGTGTCACTGGCTGAGGCCAGAGACAGGCAGCTGGTGGAGTTACGACACTCTAAACTGAAGAAACAGGTACTCAATCTTTACATTTTACAATAAATACTTATTTATAACATTATGGCCCGTATTCCATCCAATTTGTGCCTGGCATGTAAAACTCTCACATTCTGCTAATTTCTTGATGATGCCTTCTAAACAGCCCTTGACAGACGGTATGAGTAAGTTGTCTACTTGTGTTGTGTGTGTGAAGCTGAGAAAAGAGGAGCTGGACCGGCAACGGAGACAGGCTGAGGAAGAGGAGGATGAGAGGATGAAGGCTAAACAGCGGGAGAAGGTAAGAGAGGGATGGAGAGGGTGTTAGCACTGTACAAGTAAATCACTTACTTACTATTGACGTCATTGTATTGTTACTATGTACTGTAGGTATACAGAAGGTATTGTTTCTCTCTATAATACCATTTAATTCCAACAGAGGCCACTGCAGACAGCTGGCAGGCACACTAAAAAAATCCTAGATGTGGTGATAGAGAGAGAGAGAGAGAGAGAGAGAGAGAGAGAGAGAGAGAGAGAGAGAGAGAGAGAGAGAGAGAGAGCGAGAGAGAGAGAGAGAGAGAAGAGAGAGAGAGAGATAGAGAGATAGCTATAGCGAGAGCTTACCTAAGATCGAGGCTCTGACTCTCGAGATACCGACCGATATAGATGCAAGACGACAAGAGTGAAAGACAGAAAATGGCAAGGACTTTAGTGTGTATGTATTTACACTTACTCAAATCCAATCATACCCTCTAAAGCCCCACTGTGCCCTGGCTCTCTCTCACAGAGAGAGAGAGAGCATAATAGACAGAGAGAAAGAGACATATCCACACCCATCATTAAGGAGACAATATTTCCCTGACTGATTGATGAGCGTTGGTGTTTCCAGGAACCACAGGCTACAGCAGAGAGAGCTGTTAGACATGTTCGAGTCCATGTCTGGCTGGCCCTCTCTGAGTGGTTAATACAGACAGAGATGTCTTAATAGTCGTTCATAAAGGACACTAGAGCAGTGGTTACGGAACCTTTAAAGAGTTGTGACGCTAATAACACTTCAAGCCTTGTGACCCACTTAATAAAGCTGACCAAGTTTCTCTCCACAACCTAGTCCTTGGTTGTGACCTGAGAGGGAATGGTTACGACAAGTCACTACTAATTAGTAACAAGTCACTGATGTTTTTAACTATGTTACAGGCTGAGAGACTGGAAGAGAGGAGAGAACAGGAGGACAGGCGGAGGAGAGAAGTTCTCGCACAGGACCACCTCAGGTCAGCACTTTGAACTTGTGAATAAAGGAGGTGTATCTGTAGCAGACAGAGGAGAGGAGATGGGTGTGTGTGACACACACTTAACCTGTGTGCCCCTATTTACCCTCACATGCATCACTGTTCTACCTAATTTCTACCATCATTAAATGTGCAACCAGAGGGAAAAAAAACTCTAGACCACCTTTACTCCACACACAGAGACGCATACAAAGCTCTCCCTCGCCCTCCATTTGGCAAATCTGACCATAACTCTATCCTCCTGATTCCTGCTTATAAGCAAAAACTAAAGCAGGAAGCACCAGTAACTCGGTTAATAAAAAAGTGGTCAGATGACGCAGATGCTAAGCTACAGGACTGTTTTGCTAGCACAGACTGGAACATGTTCCGGGATTCTTCAGATAGCATTGAGGAGAACACCACATCAGTCACTGGCTTCATCAATAAGTGCATCGATGACGTCGTCCCCACAGTGACCGTACGTACATACCCCAACCAGAAGCCATGGATTACAGGCAACATCCGCACTGAGCTAAAGGGTAGAGCTGCCGCTTTCAAGGAGCGGGACTCTAACCCGGACGCTTATGAGAAATCCCGCTATACCCTCCAACGAACCATCAAACAGGCAAAGAGTCAGTACAGGACTAAGATTGAATCGTACTACACCGGCTCTGATGCTCGTCGGAAGTGGCAGGGCTTGAAAACTATTACAGACTACAAAGGGAAGCACAGCCGCGAGCTGCCCAGTGACACAAGACTTCCAGACGAGCTAAACCACTTCTATGCTCGCTTCGAGGCAAGCAACACTGAAGCATGCATGAGAGCACCAGCTGTTCCGGATGACTATGTGATCACGCTCTCCGTAGCCAATGTGAGTAAGACTTTTAAGCAGGTCAACATTCACAAGGCTGCAGGGCCAGATAGATTACCAGGATGTGTACTCCGAGCATGTGCTGACCAACTGGCAAGTGTCTTCACTGGACATTTTCAACATGTCCCTGACTGAGTCTGTAATATCAACATGTTTCAAGCAGACCACTATAGTCCCAATGCCCAAGGACACTAAGATAACCTGTCTAAATGACTACCGACCCGTAGCACTGACTTCTGTAGCCATGAATGTGCTTTGAAAGGCTGGTCATGGCTCACATCAACACCATTATCCCAGAAACCCTAGACCCACTCCAATTTGCATACCGCCCCAACAGATCCACAGATGATGCAATCTCTATTACACTCCACACTGCCCTTTCCCACCTGGACAAGAGGAACACCTACGTGAGAATGCTATTCATTGACTACAGCTCAGCATTCAACACCATAGTGCCCTCAAAGCTCATCACTAAGCTAAGGATCCTGGGACTAAACACCTCCCTCTGCAACTGGATCCTGGACTTCCTGACGGGCCGCCCCCAGGTGGTAAGGGTAGGTAACAACACATCTGCCACACTGATCCTCAACACGGGGGCCCCTCAGGGGTGCGTGCTCAGTCCCCTCCTGTACTCCCTGTTCACCCATGACTGCATGGCCAGGCACGATTCCAACACCATCATTATGTTTGCCGACGACACAACAGTGGTAGGCCTGATCACCGACAACGATGAGACAGCCTATAGGGACGAGGTCAGAGACCTGGCCGTGTGGTGCCTCTCCCTCAACGTGACCAAGACAAAGGAGATGATTGTGGACTACAGGAAAAAAAAGAGGACTGAGCACGCCCCCATTTTCATCGACGGGGCTGTAGTGGAACAGGTTGAGAGCTTCAAGTTCCTTGGTGTCCACATCACCAACGAACTATCATGGTCCAAACACACCAAGACAGTCGTGAAGAGGGCATGACAAAGCCTATTCTCCCTCAGGAGACTGAAAAGATTTGGCATGGGTCCTCAGATCCTCCAACAAATTATACAGCTGCACCATCGAGAGCATCCTGACTGGTTGCATCACCGCATGGTATGGCAACTGCTCAGCCTCCGACCGCAAGGCACTACAGAGGATAGTGCGTACGGCCCAGTACATCACTGGGGCCAACCTTCCTGCCATCCAGGACCACTATACCAGGCGGTGTCAGAGGAAGGCTCTCAAAATTGTCAAAGACTCCAGCCACCCTAGTCATAGACTGTTCTCTCTGCTACCGCACGGCAAGCGGTACCGGAGTGCCAAGTCTAGGTCCAAAAGACTTCTCAACAGCTTCTACCCCCAAGCCATAAGACTCCTGAACAGCTAATCATGGCTACCCAAACTAGTTGCACTGCCCCCCCACCCCCACCCCCTCTTTTTACGCTGCTGCTACTCTGTTAATTATTTATGCATAGTCACTTTAACTCTACCCACATGTACATATTACTTCAACTACCTCAATTAGCCAGTGCTCTCACACATTGACTCTGCACCGGTACCCCCTGTATATATAGCCTACCTACTGTTATTTTATTTTACTTCTGCTCTTTTTTTCTCAACACTTTTTTGTTGATGTTTTATTTTACTTTTTTTATTAAAAAATAAATGCATTGTTGGTTAAGGGCTGTAAGTAAGCATTTCACTGTAATGTCTACACCTGTTGTATTCGGCGCATGTGGGCCAATCAAATTTGATTGATTTGATTTGAACCATGTAAACCCTTTTGTTCACCTAAAGTAACATACAGTATAATTACAGGTGTAGGAGAGTCAAAAACTGAAGTAGAATGCAGGAACATTGCACTTTAATGGATGTTTATTTGCAGAGTGTACAGAGTGTTATGTGCAGGAATCTCTTCTCCAAAGCATAATAATATTAACACTGGTCCAAACCCTTAGCCCTCAAGCACCCCACAGAGTTATTGTGTTATTGGAACCCTGACTACTTTCCAACCCCTCTGGAGGAAAATGTCTGTTTGACACCACTGGCATCAGCCCAATAACAACAAACATGACACAACAACACACTAGGAGAACTGTAGGGAAGGAACAATACAAACATGTAGAGACAGACAGACGGACAGACAGAGGGAGCATGTTGGAGTCAGGGGTGGAGAGAGAAGAGGAGGTTACAGATGATGGGGCTAGAGATGGGACTGAGACGGGGACAGGACAGATAGGACAGAGTACTGAAACAGTAAGAGTCAGACCAGGACAAACAGACTAGGTGACTCCTCTGTGAAACAGCATCCTGCTGTGGGGAGAATCAGGAGTGTCTGCAGAAAACATTAACACTACAACACCACATCTCCATTTCACAACTGTGTGTGTGTGTGTGTGTTTGTGATCTGCAGGAGGACAGAGCAGTTCCTTCAGAGGGTGGAGAGGTCAGATGCAGCTCCAGTGGCATTGACTAGTGCCTCACACACATCACCCTGGGTAGGACTATGTGTGTGTGTATATCCTAGACAGGGCCCTGGGTTCAGGACTCTCAGAGCTGTGGCTGTGAGGTCAGGGGTAATTCACACCAATGGATCCGTCTTTGAATACGCTCTGCTCTGGAGCTCTCATCGACTGGGGTGGAGTGGGGATAAACTCAGCCCCAGAAAGGTTGGTCCAGCCCAGCCCGGGGAGAGGACTCATCCCCCTAATATTGTCCTCTGGTCAGAGCTAGTGGACACTGCGTGCGTGTGTGTGTGTGTGTGTGTGTGTGTGTGTGTGTGTGTGTGTGTGTGTGAGAGAGAGCCAGGGCACAGTGGGGCTTTAGAGGGTATGATTGGATTTGAGTAAGTGTAAATACATACACACTAGAAGTCTTGCCATTTCTGTCTTTCACTCTCTGTCTGTCTTTCTTTCTTTACTCTCTCTCTCTCTCTCTCTCTCTCTCTCTCTCTCTCTCTCTCTCTCTCTCTCTCTCTCTCTCGTTACCCTCACTTTCCTTCTCTTTCGCTCTCTCTCTCTATCCCCCCTCTCTCCTCATAAGTTGATGGTTAGAGGAAGGGAGTTGGTGGGGTGAGGCTCACAGAGTTCAAGGGACTTCCCAGAGTTCACAGAAAGTACAGAGAGATGGATAGAGACAGGGAGAGAGAGGGAGAGAGAGTTCACTGCAGACAGACCAAGGGTGGAATAACCTGCGTAGTTCTGGTGAAAGTACCTGAAAGGAAGCCAGGCTGTCAGCCAATGAGAGGCCAGGATGCAGGAAGACCTGCCAATCACAGAGGTCATCTTTGCTATGTCATCCAGGTCGCTATGTCAACCAGCTCCAGAACAACCAATCAATTTACCTGGTGAGGAAGGAGAGATAGACCACAAGCCATCATAGCTTAATGTGTGTAATATACTATTATTTGTATGTAGTGCTAATAATAGTAGTGTTGATGTCTCATCTCAGCCCTAGCCTGGTCTCAGTGGTGTCGTGTTGTGGTGATGCTGCAGACAGCAGACAGGGAAGTGCAGGAAGGAAGGGCCCCAGGGTTTGAGTATGTGTGTGTTAGGGAAGGGTTTCATAATGTACCGACTGACGACAGTATTGTGTCAACTGACATCTTTATTCGAATCGTACACACAGCTCCTGTGGAAGACAGACAGATGGACAGACAGATAGACAGGCAGAGGAAATGTTTTCTTGTGTGGCTTTTCTCATTGTTGTTCAAGTTTCTCTCTTTTCCCTTATTTCTCACATGATTGGGAGAATTAGCAGTGCCAGGAGTGAGAGAGAGGGTGAGGAGAGAGAGAGAGGGAGAGGAGAGGGAGAGAGAGGCTGACGAGAGGTCAGGAGAGAGAGTGAGGAGAGGGAGAGAGAGGATAGAGCGAGAGAGGGTGAGGAGAGGGAGAGAGCGAGATGGAGAGAGAGCTGTAGGCAAAGATGAGGAAACAGGACAGGAAGAGAGAGGGACTCCTCTCCCTGACAGACAGTGACTATAGGAGAACCCAAAAGGATAGAAACATCATATGACAATACCTGTCATCCCTGTGGAGACAGACATACACAGAGTAATGTGTGTAGCAGTATGCCTCTCCAGTTTCCATAGAGATCCTACATTCTATTCATATATTTTCTGCTTGTTTCCTCTGAGAACATGGTAGTGAAGGAGTGTCAGGATGTCTGTGTGATCCTGCTTTACTCTCTACTGACCTGGCTCTCTGGCAATGCTCCAGACTGCAGTACTGGATCCCTCCAAGCTAAACCAACGTCACAGACCCAGCGATCAAAGCTGCCTAGCAGGAGTGGGGAGAGCAACGGGGAGAAGGGGGAGAGAGGGGGAAGAGAGTGTGGTTGATGTGGTCTCTACAGTGGTACTGGGGAATTTGTTGTTCTTTCAGAGATGGTTCCTTAAGGCCGATTTAATATTCCTTATATCCTCTGTTTGTGTGGGGGAGTGTGCGTGCGTGTGCGTGCATGTGTGTGTGTGTGAGGATAGAGAACAGAGAAAGAGCAAAAGCCTGACTCCAGAAAAACAATGTACTGTATCTCTCTCACACTCTCTCTCTCTCCCTCCCTGCCTGTGTTTAAGCAGAGGCCTGAGACCCTGTTTCTTGTGTTCCTCTCCTGCAGGCCAGAGCCCAGGAATACAGGGCAGAGAGGAAAGAGGAGGAGAATACAGCTCTACAGCTGAAGAAGAAGGAACAGAGGATGAAGGTACCCTGTCAAATATACAACCATTGCTAACAAATGTTATCGGTATATGTAGCCCAAGCAGGAATTAAACTACACTTCAGTTATCGGGGCAGTACTAATCCATGTTCTTCCCCTCAGAGTGAAGTCTTGGAGGAGAAAGATAGTGATCAGGAGGAGGAGAGGAGGAGAGAATTGAGAAGGTGTGCTCATTTTTACAACCATGTTAAAACCTAACTTTCATTTTTGAATATCGAGGGATCTGTTTAGACATTGTTCCCTTATTTATTTTGCTCCAGTAATTGGCCGGACGGCCTGTAATCTATTGATATTGCTAATCTCTTTTTAAGAGTTTAGAATATATTATTATCCCTGTAAGGAGATGTGGCTTGCAGCATTACAAACATTAGCATAGAAATACTGAATACATTCCAAAGAAACATTCTGACATTTTATAACACACAAATGACTATGTCTGGTGGCAGGGGGAGATCAGCTTTCCTGGACCGACTGCAGGGTGGGGGCACAGAGGTTGCAGGGGGGCAGATGGAGCTACAGCGCCCCCCTGTGGTTATGGAGGAGGACAGAAGAGACTGGCAGACCCATAGCCAGACCTCCAGACCACAAGACACCTTTACATCCCCGGAGCCTGACCCAGCACACAGCACCTCAGAGTGGCGAGAGGAGACCAGTAAGACACACACGGATGCACGTACACATACACACTTGCACACTGGGTACCGTTAATTACAATGTGTCAGGAAGGGAGGGAAATTCTCTGCCATTCAGTCTGCCAAGCTGTCAAGTAGAAAGGAAAAGCCCCTCAGTGTGATTCTGTCAGAGAGAGAGTCTTAAATGACTGGCATGCTGGCTGCTTTGCGTGTGTGCTCGAACCATTTCACGGCCGTAAGCTAGATGTTTTGGGGTTTAGTTTCCCATGCCACTTCACGGCTCTCAACTCACCTGCCATGGGCCACTTTGACCACTGCCCATATCTACAAAAAAGGCAATAATACAGTGTAGCGTAAATACAATTCCAAATGAATTGATGAAACAACGTGTCAGAGACATTCCAGTAGTCAGGGCTTGGAACACAGTCAGATGCTGCCTTCTGGAATGATTTCATTTACCTGGTGCCAAGGCATGCAGTCTTCAAATCAGACATGTCTCTGTGTGTGTGTGTTTGTGCAGAAGACTAAACCCTTTAAATGAACCTATCAATGGCGGCAGCCAAAGCCAAAGCCCCCATAGCAGCAGCAGCAGCACAGGAGCAGATGTTCTGTTGACTAGAGTTACCTCATAACAAAGGTAGGCTTTGATTCCCTTCCCACGTTCTTGGGCTTCTGTAGCTGATGGCATCTGATGCTTAAGCTTACTTCTGTTGGGTTTCACAGTTCAGTTCAGGAACAGTTCAGTTCAGGACCTACTGCTACTTGTCATCACATCTGCAAAATACTTTTGCTCTCACGGTCACATCGCACCCATGAAAACTTGCATTAGTTACCCAAGGCAACCCCTAGGCTTTTGCTCAGTGGGCTTAAGCAGGAGACCTGGGTTCGAACCCAGCTGTCATCACAGTACACATAGTTTTCTGCCTGTCAGTGCAGAGCTGGCTTTGCCTGGCCACACTATCTCAGCCACCATCCCTGACAAACCAACTCCATTCATCCTCTCTATCCAGTCAGCAGCAGCTTGTGAACTGGCTTGGATGGCTCAGTGGTTTGGAGCATGGGGCTGGCAATGCCAGGGTTGTGGGTTTGATGCCAGGGTTGTGGGTTCGATGTCAGGGTTGTGGCTGTGGGTTCCATGCCGGGGTTGTGGGTTTGATGATAGGGTTGTGGGTTCGATGCCGGGGTTGTGGGTTTGATGATAGGGTTGTGGGTTCGATGCCAGGGTTGTGGGTTCGATGCCAGGGTTGTGGGTTCGATGCCAGAATTTTGGGTTGGACGCAAGTGTTGTGGGTTGGATGCCAGGGTTGTAGGTTCAATGGCAGGGTTGTAGGTTTGATGCCAGGGTTGTGGGTTCGATGCCAGGGTTGGAGGTTCGATGCCAGGGTCGTGGGTTCGATGCCAGGATTGTGGGTTGGTCCTGAATACACCCGTCAACTTGCATCCGATAGCTGTTGTAAATGGCCATGTTCAGCAACCACCCTGATTAGGGTGTAATGTCAACTGGAAATAGTTTTGGAGAAAAGCCTCCGTTGGCTAAATGGCCGTGGTGATTAGGATGTAAAGAGGATGTTAGTCCTTCATCACCATAACACTCCTAATCTCCTCCTGGCTGGCTGATGCCCTCTCCCTCCAGGCTCCTCACACTGCCCTGCTGTGTGTGTGTGTGTGTGTGTGTGTGTGTGTGTGTGTGTGTGTGTGTGTGTGTGTGTGTGACCGACCAGGGCCTGGTATAGTGTGGTTAGTTGGAGGATCAGAATGACTGTGGTGGAAGACCAGTGTTTCTTCTCTCTCTCTCTCTCTCTCTCTCTCTCTCTCTCTCCTCTTTCTTCTTCTTCTTCTTCTTCTTCTTCTTCAGTCATCTGTCCTTCCTGGCTGAACCAGATGACCCAGCAGAGAGCATCATGGGAGTGTCCTCTCTAACTGCAGTGAACGGGCTTGGTCATTAGGACTGTCATCCTAATGTGTGAGCCTGTCTGTGTGTGTACAGTGTGTGTGTGTGTGTGTGTATGCGTGTGGGCCTGCGTGCGTGTGTATGTGTATATGCATGCATGGGATTGGATGAGGCTGAGCTCTGTGTCTGTCATCGTTTCTCATTACAAGGAACATTCATCCAAAATCAAAGTTTTCAGAAGGTTTCGTAACTCATAAAGTGATCTAAAGTCAAGTCTATATTCCATGCCATCTGTTGCGCAGATCCTGCTGTATGCAGAATAAATATACAGCTTTCATTTAGGGTTTGATAGGCCAGGATATGGTACCTCTGTCTCCATACCCCGCCATTTAGATACAGATGTAGGATCTTAATTTGATCAGGCTCTTTTTGCTGAAAATGTTCCTGCAGGAAATGCAGATGAGCTTCGTGATTTACATAAATTCACTGAAAACCCACACTAACAAACGGTTATATTAACAATATTGCACTTTTCATGTAGCCTACTTTTGGCTAGCTAATAGCCTAACCACTGATCAAGCAACATTATGGACAAAGCGTTTAAATCCTTTTGCTGCATGATTCTTTTGCTGTGACAACCTAGGTCAAATTAAGATCCTGCATCTGTATTCAGAACTAAAGGATCATACACAGTGTGTGGTATAAAACTCCATGAGAGCAGTTGTCTTGCTTTCCTAGGCTTGTCAATAGACTGCAACAAAGGCTTTCTTTGTTACCTGATATGACTGGAAAAATCATACATATGCATAAATGTACAATTTAACACTGAACTCTGTGTTTCTCCTCTGTAGATCCAGACTTTGAGTGGGTTGTGATGAAGCTTCAGAATAGCTTCCCGTTCTGTGAGAGACCCTTTCTGGAGGACATCGTCATTCAGTGTAACGGAGACTATCAACAGGCCTATGACTTACTTATCTAGTGCTGCAGAGACCACCAACAGGCATGTGTGTTAGTCTAATGACAACCCTTGTGTATTAACCTTTAGTACTGAATCTTCGTCATATCTTCATCTCTAATAGTACAATTGTGAAACTTGATACCGTAATAATGATAATATTGTGAAACTTGATAATATATATTAGATCAAGTAATGATAGTATTGTGAAACGTAATATCTTACTAATAATAATAGTGTGAAACTAGTTAATTTCTTCAACACAAATGACTCGTATTGCTCCATTGTGTTTGACATTGATTTAGGATGATGTGTGTTTTACAAATGAGCTGTAGGTCACTAGGATGAGTCAGCATCTTTATATCCATTTGGCTTTTAACAAGCTCATTGTGTTGTTATGGAAACATCTGTCCAGGGAGAGATGCTGTTTTCTGTTTCTCTGTATAAAGGCTAATCACAATAACATGTTGGCTATCCATTACAAGGGTTTCTCATCTGTAAGAATGGACAACAATAGACCGTCTCCCTTAGTGTGTCCTATTAGATAATAGATTGGGTCTTTATGATATGTGTGATCTCTGGTTTCACTGAGATGTTTGACTTTTCACTTTGTATTCTTCAAATGTTTCCTTGATTGAATTAGTATTGTAATGTTTAGGTCAGCTATCCAGGGCTGTGTTTAATAAATGGGTGTTCAACACGGT